ATGCTTATGTGAAGAATCTTCAACCTGATAAGCTCGAACCCAAATCAAAGAAATGTGTTTTCATAGGATATCCAAAGGAAACTATTGGATACACCTTCTATCACAGATCCAAAGGCAAGACATTGTTGCTAAATTTGGAAACTTTCTGGAGAAGGAGTTTCTCTTGAAAGAAGTGAGTGGGAGGAAAGTAGAACTTGACGAGGTAACTGTACCTGCTCCCTTATTGGAAAGTAGTACATCACAGAAAACTGTTTCTGTGACACCTACACCAATTAGTGAGGAAGATAATGATAATGATCATGAAACTTCAGAACAAGATAATACTGAACCTCGTAGATCAACCAGAGTAAGATCCGTGCCAGAGTGGTACAGTAATCCTGTTCTGGAAGTCATGCTACTAGATCATGATGAACCTACGAACTATGAAGAAGCGATGGTGAGCCCAGATTCCGCAAAATGGCTTGAAGCCATAAAATCTGAGATGGGATCCATGTATGAGAACAAAGTATGGACTTTGTTGACTTGCCCGATGATTGGCAAGCAATTGAGAATAAATGGATCTTCAAGAAGAAGACTGACGCTGACGGTAATATTACTGTCTACAAAGCTCGACTTGTCGCAAAAGGTTTTCGGCAAGTTCAAGGGGTTGACTACGATGAGACCTTCTCACCCGTAGCGATGCTTAAGTCTGTCCGAATCATGTTAGCAATTGCCGCATTTTGTGATTATGAAATCTGGCAGATGGATGTCAAAACTGCATTCCTGAATGGATTTCTAGAAGAAGAGTTGTATATGATGCAACCAGAAGGTTTTGTTGATCCAAAGGGAGCTAACAAAGTGTGCAAGCTCCAGCGTTCCATTTATGGACTGGTGCAAGCCTCTCGGAGTTGGAATAAACGCTTTGATAGTGTGATCAAAGCATTTGGTTTTATACAGACTTTTGGAGAAGCCCGTATTTACAAGAAAGTGACTGGGAGCTCTGTAGCATTTCTGATATTATATGTGGATGACATATTACTGATTGGAAATGATATAGAATTTCTAGATAGCCTAAAGGGATACTTGAATAAGAGTTTTTCAATGAAAGACCTCGGTGAAGCTCCTTACATATTAGGCATTAAGATCTATAGAGATAGATCAAGACGCTTAATTGGACTTTCACAAAGCACATACCTTGACAAAGTTTTAAAGAAGTTCAAAATGGATCAAGCAAAGAAAGGGTTCTTGCCTGTGTTACGAGGTGTGAAATTGAGTAAGACTTAATCCTCGACCAATGCAGAAGATAGAGAGAAAATGAAAGATGTTCCCTATGCTTCAGCCATAGGCTTTATCATGTATGCAATGCTGTGTACCAGACATGATGTGTGCCTTGCTATAAGTCTAGCAGGGAGGTACCAAAGTAATCCAGGAGTGGATCACTGGACAGCGGTCAAGAACATCCTGAAATACCTGAAAAGGACTAAGGATATGTTTCTCGTTTATGGAGGTGACAAAGAGCTCATCGTAAATGGTTACGTTGATGCGAGCTTTGACACTGATCCGGACGATTCTAAATCGCAAACCGGATACGTGTTTACATTAAACGATGGAGCTGTCAGTTGGTGCAGTTCTAAACAAAGCGTCGTGGCGGGATCTACGTGTGAATCGTAATACATAGCTGCTTCGGAAGCAGCAAATGAAGGAGTCTGGATGAAGGAGTTGATATCCGATCTAGGTGTCATACCTAGTGCATCGGGTCCAATGAAAATCTTTTGTGACAATATTGGTGCAATTTCCTTGGTAAAGGAATCCAGATTTCACAAGAGAACCAAGCACATCAAGAGACGCTTCAATTCCATCCGGGATCTAGTCCAGGTGGGAGACATAGAGATTTGCAAGACATACGGATCTGAATGTAGCAGACCCGTTGACTAAGCCTCTTCCACGAGCAAAACATGATCAGCACCAAGGCTCCATGGGTGTTAGAATCATTACTGTGTAATCTAGATTATTGACTCTAGTGCACGTGGGAGACTGAAGGAAATATGCCCTAGAGGCAATAATAAAGTTATTATTTATTTCCTTATATCATGATAAATGTTTATTATTCATGCTAGAATTGTATTAACCGGAAACATAATACATGTGTGAATACATAGACAAACAGAGTGTCCCTAGTATGCCTCTACTTGACTAGCTCGTTAATCAAAGATAGTTATGTTTCCTAACCATGAACAAAGAGTTGTTATTTGATTAACGGGATCACATCATTAGGTGAATGATCTGATTGACATGACCCATTCGATCAGCTTAGCACCCGATCGTTTAGTATGTTGCTATTGTTTTCTTCATGACTTATACATATTCCTATGACTATGAGATTATGCAACTCCCGTTTATCGGAGGAACACTTTTTGTGCTACCACACGTCACAACGTAACTGGGTGATTATAAAGGTGCCCTACAGGTGTCTCCAAAGGTACATGTTGGGTTGGCGTATTTCGAGATTAGGATCTGTCACGCCGATTGTCGGAGAGGTATCTCTGGGCCCTCTCGGTAATGCACATCACATAAGCCTTGCAAGCATTGCAACTAATGAGTTAGTTGTGAGATGATGTATTACATAACGAGTAAACAGACTTGCCGGTAACGAGATTGAACTAGGTATTGAGATACCGACGATCAAATCTCGGGCAAGTAACATACCGATGACAAAGGGAACAACGTATGTTGTTATGCGGTCTGAGAGATAAAAGATCTTCGTAGAATATGTAGGAACCAATATGAGCATCCAGGTTCCGCTATTGGTTATTGACCAGAGACGTGTCTCGGTCATGTCTACATTGTTCTCGAACCTGTAGGGTCCGCACGCTTAAGGTTTCGATGACAGTTATATTATGAGTTTATGCGTTTTGATGTACCAAAGTTTGTTCGGGGTCCCGGCTGTGATCACGGACATGACGAGGAGTCTCGAAATGGTTTAGACATAAAGATTGATATATTGGAAGCCTATATTTGGATATCGGAAGTGTTCCGGGTGAAATCAGGATTTTACCGGAGTACCCTCCTTGATGTCGCGAGGTGGAGTTTGTTGGGCTAAGTCCCTCCACATGGAGGTGTGTTGACAACCCAACATCAGCCCATAAGTCCAACACATGTCAGCCGTTGATCTGCGCTGCATCCAACGGTTGAGAGCGCTTCCAAGAGAAGTGAAGCAAGAAGAAAACCCTAGCCACTCCACTGCTCGCTGGTGGTGGCTGCCATTCGTGAAAGCGAGAGAGAGAGAGCTCACAAGAAAAAACACAACCTGAGAGAGAGGAAGAAGAAGAAGAAGCAGAGGTTCTGTCTAGATTTGCTACATCTGACTAGTCAGTGTTCAAGTTGGTGGTTGGAGGCTCAAACGTGCTTGGATCGATCCTAATCTTGGTGAGCTCGTTCCTTACTTTGAGTACTTCGATCTGGTTAGCTGGTTTGAGGATTGGGTCAGTGGAGCATCAGATTTGAGAGTGGTTTTGTCAGCTCTGACTGCTGCAGTTTCACAACAGACTAGTTTTGGGAGACAAACAGTTTGGGTAGGCAAATGATGTCCGGTTGAGATGAAATTTGGAGGGGATGTCAAGAACTCATGTGTCTACTTGTCTGCCAAATTTGGTGCTCTTTGGTTCAGCGGTTTAAGAGTAGTTTGCAAAACACTAAAGGATACATAAGCTATGTAAACTCTGCTTTGCTGAAATCTTGCATCTTATGCACATGCCATGACGTGTTCAGTCTGCAGCTCAGCAACAGCGAGATTCACCGCACCGCACACGCCGTGCTATGTTCAGTCTGTAGCTCTGTCAGCTTAGCAACATCGCCATCCACCAACCACTTCCTGCAACAACCAGGATATATGCACTATTATTGGTTATATATGATTCACAATCCGACCCAAGTTCTGAAACAAATAAAACAAAATTCGTCACTTCTATTCAAAGAATTCAACCATGCCAAAACGAAAACCATCTGTTACGTTCATTACAGGTTCAGTACAGCAAAGGCCTCCAGCCCCAAGTTCAGAACGAAATCCATTGGTTACATCCAAAGACCGAAATCATGCTACGCATTCTCAGTACAGCAAAGGTCTCCGGCAAAAGTTCAGAAAAAAAATTTCAAGACAGAAATTTGATACATGGCAGGGCACTTGCCCTTAGAGAAAGAAACATGACGCTTCCTTCACCAGCTTGCAGTAGATCAGGGTGCTTGCACATCTTCACCGTTGACAGGCTTAGTATGTCTCACGCACGTTTCCCCCGTCCATCCTGCTGCAATTTCATTCAGAATAGAGTTTGAATTAGGGAACAAACAGTAGTCAGAAGCAGTTACAAGCACATAAAACCGAAGTATTCATTGCAAGAAATGTATTCCTGGGTTCATCAAAGCAAGGACAAAATGATGACAAACGTGTGGCATTCCAGCATGCATGAGTGTAGGAAGTACATACATAAAGGGCAGTCCGGTGCATGTAGCTCCCACTTGCGCAGGGTCCGGCGAAGGGTCCGACCACTTTGGGTCTATTGTATGCAGCCTTTCCCTACATTTCTGTAAGAGGCTGTTTCCAGGTCATTTGTGTAGGTAGGCAGTACATACATGTGGAAAGAAAATAGATTAAGATAGCAAATTTGCAAAGTCTAAGAGAACGATTAGGAGAATCCAAGTAACAGTATGGGTTTAGAGATGGAACACACATAAGCAACTTATTAGGGCAGTATTATACAACACTTGCTAACTTGTAAGCCTGAAATCTGCTGCCATGGACATCTACTAATGCTCACTCGGACATCTACAATCACAATCGATCAAAGCAATTCTGTTGCATAAGCATAATGGCCAAATATGTACTACAATTTATGCAGCTATCCAATATGAAGAGGCAGAAAATTGTGTCGTATGACTACAAATTATGGTTCACACAATTAAAGACACAAAGCAAAATGCCCAACCAATATATATGCAGTGTTCATACCTTGTGCTTTCATTGCCATCTAACTGGTACACAGCGTGTAGACATCCAGGTCTTCACCATGAAGTCGTTGGTGCTGCTTATGAAGTCCAGACACCCAGCGGGAAGAGACTTCTTGCATATCCTCGCCCAGCCCCAACTGCTGAAAACTGCCCAACCCCTCTGCATGGCTTAAATTTGGACAACCATGTACACACAGTTCGGACAGTTGAGGGAGGTTGCAGATCCTCTCCAGGCCTTCACATTTCTCGATTAGGAGGAGCTCAGAGAGCATTGGGAGGTCCTCCACAGCCTTCAAGTTGTTCGTTCCATCTAATCTGAGCTGCTTCAAGCTGGTGGTGACCTCTCCAAGCTGTCGCGGAAGAGCCCTCAGCTTTGGGCAACCTTCAAGTTTCAAGAGCACCAAACGAGGCAGCAATTGGAACCTTGCAGATTGTGCATCTTCTGTCCCTTCATTAGTAGTAGCAACTTCTGCTTCTTCTTTTTCTTCAAAAAAAGACCACTCCTCCCAGTTGGGCATATCCTTGATGACCAACCATTCAAGTCTAGGGAAAGCAATTAACTCATTGCTTATGGAACCTCCCTTCCAGCAACCAACAAATTCAGGTCCAACCTTGGTAACTGCATGTGCTCCATCAATTCTAAGATATTTCAAGTTGGGTAACTGCCAAATCGGTGGAAGATTCACACATGATCATATATCACTTAGGTACAAATGTATCATTGAAGACAAACAGGTGGTACCAAACCAGGTGGGATACCGCCGACCAAAGAATCGTGCAATATATAGAGTTTCCAGGTTGCATGGAAGAACAAGCTGCTCAAAGACATTCTCAATATTGCTAACATCTTCTTGTGAATATGATCCATCCTGAAGGTCACTACACGTTAGTCTTAGTTCTTTTAGATGCTCTTTGTCCATCAGCAATGTATTTGTACTAAAATAAGCCGCTCTTTCCAATTTCTTCAGAAGAAGATGCCTTATCTGCGACATAGAACGCAACTCCTCCAACTCCCATCCATCTTGTACAGCAGCATTATCACTTCCATCACTGACATAATATCCTCGTAAATAAGTGAGAAACGTCAGTTTCCCTATCCCTTTTGAAACCTTACTATTTTTTGTACTAGCAAGATCAAGGCATCGTAAACTACACAACTGGGTCATCGTGGAAGGAAGACTGTCCAGAGTATCACAATTAGTCAAGCTCAGTACTTGAAGGTTCTTCAGGGAGCCAATGGATTCTGGAAGGCAAGAAATGCCAGTATAATTCAAATCAAGTAGGCGCAGATGTATCAATTTTCCTCTATAATCTGGAATTATTTTTACAAGTGAGTAATTCAGTACCAAAACGCGAAGAAGAAAAAATCTCTTGAACAATGTATCATCAATTCTCTGTGGACCACGGACAGTCAGTAAAGTCCTAACCTTAACTTTCACCTTATCCATAGTAGGTAGCATTAATTTATCCTTCTTACTGACAGCGGTAACACGTCGCAATTTTGACATAGCTTCACCCCTTAAAGTTTCAACATCTCCAATAAAACATTCTTCCCTTGATATATTGCACGCAAGCTGCCTTAAGAGGTCATGCATTTTGCATTCAGCCTTGTCAAAATGCACGCTATCTGGTTGGAGGAGATTCCGGTGGATTAGCTCATAGTAGTACTCTTCTGCTATGTCTTCTAGTAGTTGGCCTTGTTGCTCCTCAACGAATCCTTCAGCAATCCATAACCTGGTAACTACACCACGGTGAATGATAGAATCTTCAGTGTACAAAGCACAGTAAAGGAAACACTGCTTCAGACGATGTGGTAACTCATCATAGCTTAGATACAAAGATCCTTCTATTTCATCGGAGAGTGTGCTCTGGGAGCAAGCATATTTGCTTAAAATCCTTTTCCACTCATTCTCTGTTAGATCTTTGCTTGCCAAAACACTAGCTGTAACCTTGATCGCAAGAGGGAGGCGGCCGCATTTACAAACAATCTCAATCCCTATGTTCTGTAAATTGAGCACTTCTTTCTCTTCATCAATGTTCATGCTCCTCCAAAGTAGCTCCCATCCCACCTCAACTGACATGAGATCAACTGGATGGATATATTTTATGCCTATCCTTTTCGCAATTTGATCATCTCGTGTTGTTATCAGTGTTACTCCGGCAGTTGTGTCATCTAAAGGAGTTCTTAGTAAATCCGTCCAAACATTGGAATGCCACACATCATCTAGAACAATAAAGAAGCTCTTTCCTTTGATTGTTTCTGCAATCTTTCTCTGCAGCTCTGCTATGGTTTCACCTTGCTCATGATGCACATCAATATTTCGGAGAAGGGTTACTCCATTGTACTCTTGTGAAACACAAATCCATGCATGTATCATGAAGCCTCCTTTTACTTTCTGATCGTTGTATATTTTTTGAGCTAGTGTTGTCTTACCAACTCCTCATGTTCCAACAATAGCAAGCTTGTAAGACTTATTTTCCTTGTGCGCAAGCACCAAGTCCACCAACTTCCTGCTAGAATGTAAGATCTCCTTTCCCACAAGGTTGGGCTCAACAAGGTTGGAACTTCTTATCATTTTGCACATTGGACCATTTCCAGTAGGTTGTGTACTACTATTGAATGTTAAAAATATCTTGTCATGCAAAATGTTCTCTATCTTCTTGTTGAGGCTTCTAATCCGAACAGCAACATCACGACGTGGCCCGATGTTGCAAAAACAATTGAAACTGAAAGGCCTTTACATGCAACTGATGATGATGATGATGAAGGGTGATCAGGAAGCAGCTTGTTTCCTTTACATCTAGCCACGTCCAAGATTTCATCAACATCATATATAACATCTCTCAGTTGACCAAGCCAATTGTTTACTGCTTGCTCTTTTGTCTTCCTTTTCTCAGCATCATATATGCAACACTGTATTAGTTCTACTCGTCGCAGCACTTCTGCGAGATCTTTTTCCACCCCTAGGATTAGTATGGCTTCATCAATAACGATATCTTTCAACTTATTGCCACATGATCCAAGTAAAGATGCTAGAATGGCTGCCATCAAACAAATGAAATTGCATGCACAAGGGGGAGGTCCACCAAAAAAATACCAGGGTGGCTTGTTTTGGAGAATGGCAAAAGGTTAATCCTGAAAATAAATACAAAGGTATGTTAATTGCTTTCACAATGACATCCACCTTTCTGATATATACTGGCATAGAAGAAGATATTTAATATATTTAGAATACCGGAGCTATACAACATACAAATAGGGGAGTAAGGCCAAGTATTGAGGTCTCTAAATCCCTGAGTTGGCATTCTGTTCTTTTATCTTCTTTGTGTTTGCAAATTAACATGTGTTTTAGTTTTGTATATTAAAATGATTTATTGGTTTGTTTTGCTCAGTTGAATAACCATCAGATGGCAGCTGCATAGCAGCCTATAGACTAAATGTTCCACTGAGTTAAAACCTACAGATAAATCATCCAGTTATATATGTTTGTTTGTCAGATCTATCTTAACACTAAATCGATTTCCAGAAATCATGATAAGTTATTACATGTAGTAGTCATGAAATTAAAGTTGCAAGCTCTGAAGTATAATGGCAAGTCTTACCTTACGAACCAGTCTTCCAGTAAGGAAAAAACCGTCAATATAAGAATCAATAGTGATCATTTTGTAGATGTAGTTTACTCCGACGGTCAATCACCAAGAGAAAACCATGCTGCTACACCTACAATACAAAATAGAAGATTACCGATCAACAAGTGAACAAAAGGAGTAACATTGCGTAAGAGATCCCAAAGTGCAGAACACTTAGAGCCCATGTATACCTGAATACATGCTGGTAAGTGGTAACTAGACTGATAAGCCACTGCTGAGGATGCTGTGAGATCGAGGAGAGCGGCACAGGATCAGTTCAAGCATAAGTGACCGGTGGAGCAACAGGAGCGACTAACACAAGCAACCGAGACGAAACTTTCCCTGCGTGCAGTAGAGGTAATACTCAGGTTAACTGGAGAAGATGAATGGAACTAGCAAAATCTTAATTTTCTTGATTTCCTGATGCCTTACCAGATCCAATAATAGCATGCTGGAGCCAAGAAAGAGCAAAGGACTGGAGCAAGAGCACACAACACTAGTTACCAACGCACCTCTCCCCTGCTTGCGTAAAAAACACTAGTTATCTCGCAAGCTAGTGTAAAAATAGACAATAGAAGATTATCGGTTAATCACAGTGGTGCAGATCCAGAAGAGCAGAACATTGAGATCGAACATAGTATATACCTGGGTGCAGACCGGTAACTAGAGTGATGAGAGTGCTGCAAAAGGAGATCTGCGTGTGCAGTAGAGTAGAGGAATACAGACGGAGATTAACTGAAGAAGAGGACGAGGAAGAAGAATGGAACCAACAAAATCTTGAGATTTCTAAGGTTTCCTTACCGGATCCAATCGGAGCATACTGGAGCCGTCCCCCTTCCTCTGAAAATGCACTGCAGGCTGTGGCTATGGCTATGGCTCTCTCCACTCCAGTATAGTGTCGGCCTCAAAGTAGCAATAATTCATGTGCCAAGACATGAGCTGGCCAACTGGCCATTACTATTTTCGTCTTGTCATGTCATGTCACACTTCTGTAGCTACTGGCCCCATTGACTAGCTGTACCGTTCAACTGTTGGTCTTGTTCAGATTAGCTCATCTTTTTCAGCAGCTAATGCAAAGTTTTAAAAACGTAAGGTTTAGCACTTGTTGTTCAGAGATACAGATTAAAATTGTTATGCAGGTCTACAGTATCACCATGCTTTCCAAGAAACACCCAGGTCCAAACTAGTCATCGCAAAGCATGTTTACATGCATAAACAGCCTCATCCAAAAAATAAGTGGAGATATATACGACTATTTATATCCAATAATAACACAAGCTGTAAAAGAAACTTCCAGTAGTACAAAATCTCTAAAATTTCTACCCCATAGGAAAACCCGGGGAATCAAACTTTTTTTTATCAACACCAAGCTATACTTCGATTACCATGTGACTGTATTATTTTGCAAGAGAGCTAACCATGGAACATATGTAATCACGTAAAGTCCTTTTTTTGCGGGTGATAATCACGTGATGGCCAACCCAAAGAAAAGAAGAACAAAAACTAGTCTCGAGATGTACGGCAAAATCTGCACATACCACAATGGCCAGTACAGATCACCTAAAAGAGATTTGCGACACAGTTTACAAAACCACTGACTTGTTT